CCCCCCCCAATATAAAGCTGGCTACGGGCCTGTATGAGAACCATGAGAATTAGAATTTGGATACAAATATTAGATTGAGCACCAAGTGCAGTTTACTTGAGGATGTATTTTTAAATGTAGGATGTTATATCACCCGAATTATTGTGTTTACTCCATGCAGTCATCGGCAAACAAGTTTGTGTTTGTTGTCATCAAAAGCCAATAATGCATGTATCAATTAATAATAATGTATTATTAGGTCTTGATGTCAATAATTGTGTTCGTGTTCATGTTCATTACATTTTTGTATCATTCATTTTGATATATTTGATATACATAAATTCATAATGCATGCTATTATATATATATCTGTATTTATGTATATGTTAAAAGTTACCATTATAAACAGCGTTTCTGCATTATTCCAGTATACATGTTTCGACGTGCCAAATGAAAACAAGATTACTGTTTATGTAATCGTGTGCAGCAAATACGAGGCCTGAGAAATATATAATAAAGAATAAATCTCTAGGAACTATTCTTCTATGTTATATTTGTTGCTTCCTATACGACAATCAATTACGGAATTTTCTCTATCCATCCCCACTTACAACAGATGAGTGAACACATGTGTAAAGGGTGGAAGTTCAACTGTAGGTGAAGTACATGACATGACAAGTCTTGGGTATTTCATGAACAATACGTGTCTGTATGCACATTGTTAACCAACCTGCTATTTGCTGGTATAATTTCACACAGACCTACATGTATCAGAGTTCTCGAGTTCGCAAACTCGTGTTAGAAACCTGGAATGGTGGTTAAATTTTCCCGTATCCAGCACATCTAAATACAGCGGCAAGAAAACACATTTTAATCAAAATAATTGATATAATAATAATTCTTATAAATTGCAGTTCTTTTCCATCCTAATAATTTTTTCCCCATAAATGAACATGAATGACAGAAATAGGATATGATACCACAGGGATGTATCTGTTACGAAAATAATATTATTCTACCTGCTATATATACCAAGCAACTATCTTTAATTGGTCCAAAAATTTTAACAACTAGCAATACTTAAATGTACATTTTAACTGCTTTGATTTGCTTGTAATCTGATACTAAATAAATTTCCTCTACCACACAATAATATATCTCAGTATAGGTCCCCTCTGATAATGCCAAATAAAAGATAAACAGGAATAAAGTCGCAAAGGTAAATCAATAATAAATTTCACCGGCGATCTAGGATCTGTAACACATATATCATCAAACTAATATTCGTATAATGTTAAATTTTCCCGTATCCAGCACATCTAAATACAGTGGCAAGAAAAAACATTTTAACCAAAATAATTGATATAATAATAATTCTTAGGAAATCGCAGTTATTTTCCATCCTAATTATTATTTTTTGCATAAATAAACATGAATGACGGAAATAGGATATGATAATTTTAAAATGTATCTGCTACGAAAATAATATTATTCTACCTGCAGACTCGACAATATATTAACGTGTAAATATCGCTAATATACCAATTAAGCAACTGTCTTTAATTGGTCCAAAAATTTTAACAACTAGCAATACTTAAATGTACATTTTAACTGCTTTGATTTGCTTGTAATCTGATAATAAATAAATTTCCTCTACCACAATGGCAATGCCAAAGTAAATAAAATAAAAATTCAATTTCCTCTTGTACGCAGAGATAAACAGGAATAAAGTCGCAAAGGCAAATCAATAATAAATTTCACCGGCAATCTAGGATCTGTAACACATATCATCAAACTAATATATATCTATATATATATATATATATATATATATATATATATATAGATATATCGTGCCCCACTTATAATAAGAAAAACAGAATATATAACGACCTGTATTGATGAAGAATGAACTAAATGCATCACTCACCCTCAACATAAACGTACGATCAAGCCTCCCTCTCTGTGCTAATCCAGAATTCAGAGCGTACACAAGCTCCTGCTGTAGACAGGTAATAAAGGGCTACTCACTAGAGAGATGACGTTACATGGAGTGACACTCATTTTACACGGACACACATTATGTCACATACCCAAATGACACAGGCAAAAACTTTCCAACTAATACAGTATGGCAAATGGCTTCAATTCTAAACCAAACCATGTCTGATTCTGTAGACTGTCTAAATAGTATATACCCGTGTACAGTTATAGTCTCTATATCAGTATAGACACTAATATACAGCTACAGAGAGCCATCAACGATGACGACTACACACACATGGCAGGAGCCGCTCCCTGCTTCTGTACCAATCGCATCAGCATTGAATACTAGCATATTAACACCATAGCTGCATGCACATCATCTACAGGTGTGCCTCGTCTACAGGTATGCCTTGTCTACAGGTGTGCCTCGTCTACAGGTATGCCTTGTCTACAGGTGTGCCT